ACTGGAGGTACTGGAGCTGCTGCTGGTGCTGGAGGTGCTGGAGCTGGGGGTACTAGAGGTGCTTCTGGTGCTGGAGGTGCTAGAGCTACCACTACTGGAGGTACCGGAGCTGGACAGCCACCGCAACCTGCTCTACTTGAGACGCTCTTGCCGCAGGCGATTCGTGCGTGGGTCGTTCGGTGAGGCAGTCCTGGTGGTGGAGGGTACGGTCCGGCTGGTGCTGGAGCTACTAGTCCAGGAGGTGCTGCTGGTGCTGGAGGTGCTGGAGGTACTACTGGAGGTACTAGAGGTACTGCTGGTGCTGGAGGTGCTGCTGGTGCTGGGGGTACTGGAGCTGCTGCTGGTGCTGGAGGTGCTGGAGGTGCTGACCCTGGAGGTGCTGGTGCTGGAGGTACTGGAGGTGCTGGAGCTACTGGTCCCGGAGGTGCTCGTACTGGAGGTGCTGGAGCTGCCGGAGCAGGTGGTGCTGCTGATGCTGGAGGTGCTGGAGGTGCTACTGGAGCTGCTGGCACGGGAGGTACTGGAGGTACTACTGGTGCTGGAGGCGCTGGAGCTGGAGCTAGAGGCACTGGAGGTGCTGGAGGTACTACTGGTGCTCGAGGTGCTGGCGCTGTCGGAGCTCGTGGTGCTGGAGGTGCTGGTGCTACTGGTGCTGGAGGTGTTGCTGGGGGTACTGGAGGAGCTGCTCGTGCTGGAGGTACGGGAGCTACTGGTGCTCTTCGCCACCTTCTCAGTCTTTCGCCAGGTGCTACTGGCTTCCCTGTGGCAGGTACTACTCCTCCGTTGCTGTGTACGCCAGTGGACCAGTCACAGCCACCCCTGCTACCACACTCCCCACTGCCTGCTCCTGCTCCTTACACTGCGGTGACAGAGTCCCTGACTAAGCGTCGAGAGCCTGAGTCTAGCTTTGACCTTGAGCCTGAGCCTAGAGCTGCTGTCCGTGCTCGTGTTTCTCGTACTCGTCGTCCACGTGCTCCGGCTGTCCCCGGCACTCACGATATGACACTCCGTCCTTCCTCTGTTCCTCAGCATATTGTCCTACCGTTACCTCCTGCGTCCTCTCTGCCTTACGTTGCTGACCCTCCGTCTGACCTTGCTCGTGCGTCCAGTCCGACTGTTACTCGCCTTCTTGCTACGGTTGTGACGGACCCTACGTTCTCGTCTCCTGCTGCGTCTGCCCTAGTAGCTGAGCTCGTTGACTTTGCTGCTGTGTACGACCTCGACTACCTTGCGAGTCTTGTCTCTGACCCTGTCCATGCCTGTCCTCCGTCCGTCGGGGGTGAGACTGCTGCTTGCCCCTGAGGGAGACCCGGATGCACTTGACATCCCCACCCCGCGCTCCTACAGGGAGGCGATTTCGGGTGAGTACTCTTCTCAGTGGCAGACAGCCATGGACGCAGAGATGGCTTCCTGGAAGTCCACAGGCACCTACGTCGACGAGGTTCCCCCACCTGGGGCGAACATCGTCAGTGGCATGTGGATTTTCAGGGTGAAGCGGCCGCAGGGTTCTCCGCCTGCCTTCAAGGCACGTTACGTTGCTCGAGGCTTCAGTCAGCGTGAGGGGGTCGACTTCTTTCAGACCTTCTCCCCCACCCCGAAGATGACCACTCTTCGGGTGTTGCTACACGCTGCAGCTCAGCGTGACTACGAGCTGCACTCCCTCGACTTCTCGACAGCTTTCTTGCAGGGTAGCCTTCACGAGGCCATCTGGTTGCGCCGTCCACAGGGCTTCACTGGGTCGTTTCCTGAGGGTACCCAGTGGAGCCTACGGCGACCAGTGTACGGCCTGCGTCAGGCGCCCCGTGAGTGGCACGACACACTGAGGACGACACTTGCGGCTCTTGGGTTTGCTCCTTCGACTGCTGACCCGTCGCTGTTTCTCCGCACCGACACTACTCTGCCGCCGTTCTACATCCTCGTGTACGTCGACGACTTGGTTTTTGCTACTGCTGACACTGAGGCATTGGCCCTAGTGAAGGCGGAGCTGCATGAGAGACACACTTGCACTGACCTGGGTGAGCTGCGGAGCTATCTTGGCTTGCAGATCATCCGGGACAGACCACGGCGCACCATCACCCTCACTCAGTCACACATGGTGCACCAGGTCCTTCAGCGCTTCCGCTTCACTTGGTCCTCGCCACAGCCCACTCCTCTGTCTACCGGCCACTCGCTCTCAGCTCCACCTTCGGACGAGTCCGTAGAGCCGAGTGGTCCGTACCCAGAGCTTGTGGGTTGCCTCATGTACCTGATGACGTGCACACGACCTGACCTCGCGTACCCTCTCAGCCTCCTGGCTCGCTACGTGGCACCTGGTCGACACCGAAAGGTGCACTTTGATGCTGCGAAGAGGGTACTGCGTTACTTGTGCAGCACATCGGGCATGGGGCTCGTGCTTGGAGGACGGGGTTCAGTGGTCCTCACAGGACACTCTGACGCTTCTCTGGCCGACGACCAGACGACTCAGCGTTCGTCACAGGGTTACACCTTCAGTCTTGGCTCTGGTTCTGTCTCGTGGAGGTCCACTCGTTCTTCTTCTGTGCTTGGTTCCAGCTGTGAGGCCGAGATCTACGCTGGGGCCATGGCTGCACAGGAGCTACGCTGGCTGACCTACCTGCTGACCGACTTGGGAGAGCCGCCTCGTTCTCCTCCAGTTCTGTACGTTGACAACAAGGCATTGCTTGCCTTGTGTCGCGAGCAGAGACTGGAGCACAGAACGAAGCACATTGCTCTTCGCTACTTCCTTGCGCGTGAGCTGCAGCAGCGTGGTCAGCTGCGCCTTGCTTACGTGGCCTCTCGGGCCAACACTGCTGATGTCTTCACCAAGGCCCTTGGGTCTGGTGATCATCACCGTTTCTGCACTGCTCTTGGGCTTGTGCCCACTCTGCCTCACCTGTTGGTTGCTTGACTTGCTCTTGTTGTACACTGCTATATATCTTTATACCTGCATGTTTTCTCTTGCTAGGTTGTGATCAGTGTACTGCCTTGCTATTATATACCTCTGCATGTGAACTGGCCTTGTGGCCACTTGCTTGTGCTCAGAATGCGTGGTGACCTTGTGATCCACCCTGGGCTTTGCTTTGCTTTGTTCTCTTGCCTGACTGGTCTTGTGACCGTCTGTTGTGTTTGCTATCTCCCACTTAGCCTATGGGGGTGTGTCAAACTGTATGTTTGTGTTATCTCTAGGCTATAGTGGGTTAGCCTACAAGGGGTACAACACTTTAGGGTTAGGTACTTGTACTCATGCATGCTACCTAGTCCATCATTCATTCCTGCTTATTCTAACAGGGATTAGCACCGACGGCGCTCCTGCCATGCTTGGCGGCACCAACGGTCTCACCGGGCGACTACGTCTCTGCATCCCGCATCTGGTTTCGTGCCACTGCATCGCCCACCGATGAGCGGTTTCGGTTTCCTACCAACCTTGTAGATTGTTTGACTAACTCTATTCGTGTCTGTTGGTGTCTGGCAGAGAGTCACTCGCCGCTAGGGATCCTGCAAACGCGCTCCCGGAGCTCGGCATGGTTGACGCCATCATCCGTGCAACGGCGGAGCATCTCGGTTGCTCCAACAACTCGCATGCGACCTTCAAGGAGGTTCAAACCATATTCACCCAGAATACTGCAAGGCATCCATGCGATACGGTGATTAAGTCGCGGCAACGCGATAGCACGACTGGTGAATGTGCTACCGGCGGTGGTGGTTCCTCTGGAACTGTTGGACTCGAGCAGCTACCACGTGGTCACATCGTTGAAGTTAAAAAAAAATGTGTAATTCCTGGCGGATGTACACACCGAGCTGAACACACTCAACCTCCTCTTCCAGAGGCGCGAGGTATTGTACATGTAGGACAGATTGGGCATTTCTAAGTGCACAGGGTTTTTATCACCGTCAGGAAGCTGCGGCAAGAGCAGGAGTAAAACCAGAAGGGGGAAGTGGAGGACGAGGAGGGCATTAATCGGGTGGTGCTGAGTTGACTCAAAGGGAGATGACTCAAAAGAAGCTGACTGAAAGGCCGTTGGAATCAGGGAACTCAACAGCCACAACTCGAATGTCACATGGTGGTTTTAATAAACAACAAATATGAAAAATACCTATATTTATGTTTGTGGTGTAATTGATTTTACTTCTCGCTATAACAGTTTTTTGTATCATTATGGCTCATGAGCTACCAGCACATTAAGCCTTATTAAACGACCTAGGAAAGTGATAATGGGGTCGCTTTTCGACCTGCTAAACACGACGCCAGGTATCTCCCTGTATCGAGTACAACCACAAGCTCCCGTGGTTGCGGTTTCTGCAACCCGTGGCGCCCTGACACCAGTCTCTGAGATTAGGGCCGCATAGGGTAGGGAGGGAATCTGGATCCTTTCTGTTACCGAGTCCCCGACCCGAACCACTGAGTGCATCCAAGGCCCGGAAGCTTGACTGATTCAGACGCTTCTCCCTGTGAGCACGGACGGACGCTCGTTTCGCATTCCCGTCCAGTCAGTTACCCTGACGTTGGACATTTCGTTTTCGCTCCTTTCAGTTCGCCGCAGCCGATTCATCAGTTCGCCGCAGCCGATTCATCAGTTCGTCGCAGCCGATTCATCTGCAGTCGCCTCGCGCTGCTGCAAGCCGTTCGCCGCGTCACGTGCGTGGCTCCTCACTTGACCGAATCCCGTTGCAACCACGAAACTGCCTATTCGTTGACCGCCGAGTTGACGTGGAAATGTAAAACGATTCCTGATTCCATTGCTGATGTAAAATCCAGGCCGTTAATCCATATCTAAGCGATCGGCGCTTCAATCCTGGAGCTCGAGTGACACCCATCATGGCACAAGAGTGTTACAGCTCATTCTATAAGCGCGAGTAGCACTCATTTATGATTAGTGGTAACCTCTTTCGCAGCGAGTGAGCTGCGGCGACATTTCGCGAAGTTTCGCATCTGTCAGCAGATTTGAACGAGCGGAAATTGATCAGCCTCGTGCAGGAATCGATTTGTCTCCAGCAGAAGCCGCATGGAAGGTTCCTCCTCCTCCTCCTCCTCCTCCTCCTCCTCCTCCTCCTCCTCCTCCTCCTCCTCCTCCTCCTCCTCCTCCTCCTCCTCCTCCTCCTCCTCCTCCTCCTCCTCATTATCAGAATCCACGTCAGCAGAGAATCCGCAGAATCGCCACCAGCCAATCCCGAGACTCCCAGGCCACGCCCAGGTGCTCGGCAGACCCAACTTTCTGGCCTTCTCCCCCAGTCAGCCCACTCCTCCATCCCTCCTTCCTCCCTCACACCCTAACCCTCCCTCACACTCTAACCCTCCTTCACATTCTAACCCTCCCTCACACTCTAACACTCACTCTCACTACAACCCTCACTCGCACCCTCACTCTCACACGCACCTGCTGCAACCAATACCCGAGGAGGACCCATCCTCTCTCTCTCAATCCACCCCCAGCCCAGCTCGCTCACACTCCCTCCCTTTGGACCATCCAGCAACAGAAAATGCGGCATCAGACGCAGCAGAAGCAGCAGCAGGCAGCACCAGAAGCACCAGCAGCAGCAGCAGCAGCAGCAGCAGCAGCAGCAGCAGCAGCAGCAGCAGCAGCAGCAGCGGCCGCCGAGTCACGTTTTCAGAGTGGGTTAGCCACAGCGATGCGAGCAGGGATAGCTGGGAGAGCGACGAGCATGCGAGAGAGTTACAGGACTTCCCCTCTACTCGAGACAGGGCCTCTGGAGTATCAGCAGGTGGTAGACTGAGAGCGGTGGAAGGCGGTAGGGAGCGGTTCGGAGCGGTTGAGAGGACGGTGGTGGGGGCAGGACCGTTAATGGACGAAGCAGTGGTTGTGAGGGTTGTAGGGGGGGAGCTAGGGAGTGGGGCAGGCGCAGAGAGCTCTATAACGGGTACAGGGGCGCTTGAGGAGGGGATCAGGCCAGGCGTGGGGGAGGGTGCAGCATTGGACGGTCTGGATTACGGGTTTGGGATCTGTGCGGTGGATTTCGATGGAGAGCTGGGAGCGGGGATTGGTGGAGAGGTGGGGTTTGAGAGAGGGGGAGGGGGGGGCGTGGAGCGGATGTGGGAAGGGGAGCTGTGCGACTGCTTTGACGACTCATCCGTTGCCACACAGACTGTCTGGTGAGTGAACTCTCTCACAGGGGGGATGGAGGTACCTGGCCTGGTGAATGGTGCGCATGTGGGAAGGGGAGCTCTGCGACTGCTTTGACGACTCGTCCGTTGCCACACAGACTGTCTGGTGAGTGCCAAAAGGGAATGGATGGAGGTTAGCTGGTGTGGTGAATGCTCTCTCTCACGGGGGAGATGCTCTCTCTCAGGCACATGGCCTGGGGCGTGCTGACCGTCTGGTGAGCTCTCCGACTCAGTGTGTGCTCCCTGTGACTGCTTGGAGCGTGGAGCATAGAAAAGGGGGGGGGGGGAGGGAGGGGAGGGTGGGGGAAGGGGGGGGGGCGTGGAGCGTATGTGGAAAGAGGGGAGCTGTGACTGCTTTGATGACTCCTCCTTTGCCACTCAGTCCGTCGCCCCTCCGGCCTGCTGAGTGCTGAGGAGGAGTACTCCTGCTTTGATGCACTGCCTCTCCCTGGGCTGGCCTGGCATCGGTGGTGCGTCTCAAACACACACCTACGTGTTAGCTTCAACGACTCTTCCACTGCTAGTTAGACCACCGGGTGAGCGCAGAGGGAATGGAATGGACGCACATTGGAAGGTGAGTGCTCTCCCTCTTAGGAGGATGGAGAGGTACCCCTCTCCCTGGGCTGGCCTGGCATCGTTGGCCCGCCTCAAACACACACCTCTGTGACGCTTTGATGCCTCCTCCGTTGCCACTCAGACTGTCTGGTGACGGGTGAGTGCTCTCTGGCTCACAGGGGAATGGGGTACCTCACCTGGTGAGTGCAGGGGGGAAGGAGGTGCTCCCTCTCCCTCATCTGCATCGTTGGCCCGCCTCAAACACACACCTCTGTGACTGCCTTGATGACTCTTCCATCGCCAATCAGACCGCCTGGTGGTGAGTGCTCTCTCTCACAGGGGGGTGGATAGAGGTGCTCCTTCTCTCTTTCTCTCGCAGGTACATGGCCTGCGAGTGCAGGGAGGAGGATAGAGGTGCTCCTTCTCTCTTTCTCTCGCAGGTACATGGCCTGCGAGTGCAGGGAGGAGGATAGAGGTGCTCCTTCTCTCTTTCTCTCGCAGGTACATGGCCTGCGAGTGCAGGGAGGAGGATAGAGGTGCTCCTTCTCTCTTTCTCTCGCAGGTACATGGCCTGCGAGTGCAGGGAGGAGGATAGAGGTGCTCCTTCTCTCTTTCTCTCGCAGGTACATGGCCTGCGAGTGCAGGGAGGAGGATAGAGGTGCTCCTTCTCTCTTTCTCTCGCAGGTACATGGCCTGCGAGTGCAGGGAGGAGGATAGAGGTGCTCCTTCTCTCTTTCTCTCGCAGGTACATGGCCTGCGAGTGCAGGGAGGAGGATAGAGGTGCTCCTTCTCTCTTTCTCTCGCAGGTACATGGCCTGCGAGTGCAGGGAGGAGGATAGAGGTGCTCCTTCTCTCTTTCTCTCGCAGGTACATGGCCTGCGAGTGCAGGGAGGAGGATAGAGGTGCTCCTTCTCTCTTTCTCTCGCAGGTACATGGCCTGCGAGTGCAGGGAGGAGGATAGAGGTGCTCCTTCTCTCTCTGGGCGGGGTTGGCATCATTGGTGCGCCTCAAACAAGCACCTGTGCGACCGCTTTGATGACTCGCGCATTGCCACTCAGACCCGCTGGTGAGTGCTCTTCACGCGTGAGTGAGTGACTGCTCCTTTTATATCCCAATCTGCCTTTCCCTCACCACCTCGTGTCTCCCATCCCAACCCTCCCTTGCAGCTGCCTATGCATCTCATTCGGGCAGAACATGGCCATGGCTCCCTTGCAGCTCCCTTCTCCTCTTCTTTCCTTCGCTCCTTCTTCCCTTAGCTCACATCCCCCTGACTCCCATCACACCCCTCTTGGCAGCTGTGGTCCTTCTCTCTCTGGGCGGGGTTGGCATCACAGTCGAGCAGAACATGGCAATGCGGGACTCAACCTGGAAAGCCCCTATCAATCAAACTCGCCCACTTTTTGTTCCTCTCTTTCCATCTCCTCCCTTCGTCTCCCACCCACCCGTGCTTACAGCTGTCCCTGCATCACGTTCGGGCAGAACATGGCCATGGCTGGATTCGGCAGCTGTGCCCCCCAGGTATGCCAAAGCTTTCTTACAGGCTCGGCAGCTGTGCTTTCCGGGTATTTCAAAGCTCTCTTGCAGGCTCGGCAGCTGTGCCCAACATGTATGGCAAAGTGGTCTTGCAGGTATGGCAACCTGCCCCTACAGGTTCGTCAGCTGTTCCGCCAGGTATGGCATAGCGTCCTTACAGGTATGTCAAACCGCTCTTGCAGGTATGGCAAAGCGCCATACATTGACGGTCAACCATGCATAGGTAGCTGAATGCATTGTGTGCACCGACTCCCCTTCTGGTGCTCCTCCGTCTGCCTAGAATGCGGTTGTCAGGAGTGCTTTTATGAATTTCCCTCGTAATCCTCTCCTTCCCGCAACCTCTCTGCTCCTCTCGTCCCCCAGGCCCTCATTTACTGTGCTCTCACCTGGGGAGCGTGTTCCTGCTTGCACCTCATAGCCCTCTGCGCTTTTCAGAATCTTCATCTCATCCCTCGGATTTTCCTCCTCTCTTCTCTCCCTTATCTCCCTGCGCCCCTTTTCCCCCCAGGCCCTCATCTACTGCGCTCTCACCTGGGGAGCATGCTCCTGCTCGCAGCTCATAGCCCTCTCCTCACCGTTTCTCTCCTCTCCCCTCCTCCCCTTTCCTCACTTCTCGTATCCTCTCCTCTGCTCTGCCCTGCTCCTCTCGTCCCCCAGGCCCTCATCTACTGCGCTCTCACCTGGGGAGCATGCTCCTGCGCGCAGCTCATAGCCCTCTGCTCCACTCTCGACTTCTTCTCCTCCCTTGGGTTTCTTCTCTACTGCCTCGGCACCTCTTACCCCGCGCGCTTCCGTACGCAGACACGCCGACGCTTCAACATCCAGGTGGGGTCAGGCAGGGTGGCTTTTGATTCAACTCTCGACTGCTTCTCATCAGTGGGGGTCGTTCTGAGTCGACTCAAATGCACTTGGGTTGGGGGGGGGACAAGCTCCTGCGCGCAGCTCATAGCCCTCTGCTCCACTCTCGACTTCTTCTCCTCCCTTGGGTTTCTTCTCTACTGCCTCGGCACCTCTTACTCCGCACACTTCCGCACGCAAACACGCCAGCGCTTCAACATCCAGGTGAGGGCAAGCATAGTTTATTTTCTTTTAGAGTCGCCTCAAAAGTCTGCTCATCCCTCGGCGTGCTTCTCTACTGCCTCGGCACCTCTTACTCTGCGCGCTTCCCTCTGCGCACCTCTAACTCTGCGTGCTTCTCTACTGCCTCGGCACCTCTTACTCTGCGCGCTTCCCTCTGCGCACCTCTAACTCTGCGTGCTTCTCTACTGCCTCGGCACCTCTTACTCCGCGCGCTTCCGCACGCAAACACGCCGGCGCTTCAACATCCAGGTGAGGGCAAGCATAGTTTATTTTCTTTTAGAGTCGCCCAAAAGTCTGCTCATCCCTCGGGGTGCTTCTCTTCTGTCTCGGCACCTCTTATTCCGCACACTTCCGCACGCAAACACGCCGGCGCTTCAAGATCCAGGTGACGAGTTTTCAAACATTACACTGATTTTGCACACGAACACGCACGTTTTTCAATATTTGGGTGATGGGGCGCCTCTATTATTGTTCAAACACTCAGACACGCCGATGTTTCACTATTCATGTGAGTGGGTTACTGCACCAGTCCCGTGCTCCTCCCTTGCTCCTCCTTCGCACCGACACCATATTATCCAGGTCGGTGGGCTAGCAAGCAGGCAAGGCACGGGCTAACATCCCCATGGGCTAACAACCCTGCTTCTCAGTGGGGATGTTGTGTGTTTCTTTGCGGGGGGAGGGGGGGGGTTTAGGTGCATCTATGCTCTCGACTCGAACATGCCGACACCATATTATCCAGGTTGGTGGGCTGGCACGGGCTAACATCCCCATAGGTGCACAACCCTGCTTCTCAGTGGGGATGTTTTGTTTTTTTTGGGGGGGGGGAGGGGGGCGGGTGGGGGGGGTTTAGGTGCATCTTTGCACTCAAACATGCCGACGCGTCATTATCTGGATCAGTGGGCAGGCAAGCAGGCAAATTGCAGAGGGATGAGAACGCTGCTTCTCATTTTTGGGTAGGATGTCTCTCACTTGGGGCAGCTTAGGTTTTTAGCGCTTCTGCACTAGAACATGCCAACACTTCAGCTTTCGGGTCAATGGACAGGCAAGCAGGCCAGGTGCGGGTGGCTCGCCGAGCTTTGCTTCTCACATGTAAGCGAGGAGCCAGCTTCAGAAAGCGGGATTTTTTTGTCCTTTCTCTAGAGATTTTGTTGTCGACTCCAAAGTCAAACAGCGGGCTCGTTTGGGGGGTTACTCCTTAAAGCTTTGGCACTCCGGTTGTCATTCGGCACATCTCTGCACATCGCGCCAACGGTTCAACTTTCTTTGTTGTATTGCATTCTTGATTGTGTTGAATCCTGTTTACCTTGTGCTCAGGTCGGAGAAATACCGGAACTGGCTGACTTTTGAGGCGCCTCAGAAGTTGTATTGCATTCTTGATTTGATTGTGTTGAATCCTATCCACCTTGTGCTCAGGTCGGAGAAATACAAATTCATGTCGGGAGTAGCAGCAAACCTAGAGAAAACACTTAAGCAATAGGATCAAGACTTGTAAAACTTGTTCCTTTTACCTTGTGCTCAGGTCGGAGAATTACCGGAATTGGCTTGTGCAAGTGCGTGCCTTTCCACCTCTTGTCTTTTGAGTCGACTCAAAAGTCACCTCGTTTTGAGTCGACTCAAGATATCGACCTCAGGTCGGAAAAGGACCGGAACTGCCTTGTGCGAGTGCGTGCCTTTCCACCTCTTGTCCTCTTGTTCCCACTGTGGAAAGGACTTGCAGCTATACAGTGTATATTCTGTATGAACATTCCTGCTCACTCTCTTCCTCTTCCCCCTTCCTCCCTGGCCCTCTCTCCCTCTCATTGGCCGGCTCCCTCCCTTTTACCTATCACAACCAGTGATGAGGCAAGCAACATCTGCCATGAAGATTAGGCCTTCAAAACTTGTCTCCCTCTCACTGGCCCTCTCCCTCACTTTCCCACAACCATGCAGGGAGATGAGGCGACAGATTGCATCTATCACGCCTGTTGCTCCTGTTGCGCTCTCTGCCAGGTATGCTCGATGCATCATTCTGGGACTGCTTGTAAGGAGTACATTCAGGAATTCGTACTGACACAGTATACGCCGAGGGGCATTTGCGCTGCTCGATAACACAGCCCTCTTCGAAAATGTACCTGTCTTGTTTCCTTACTGTATTTTCTTTTGTTTTCTTGCCCATTCCAACTTTCACCTGGCACAAAAACAGGAGGCCCGTACGCTACGGATTAATAATGTGCGGAGAGGCATGTGGGGAGGGAGAGGTCACATGGGGAATGTGGCGCCAAATACCAAATCGCTCATGCTGGTCCCTCCACTTCCCTTCCATATGACAGCCATGCCTTCCCCTCCCAGTTCCCCTGCCACTTCACCCTCGAGCTCTAGTAGAGCCCCACTCTTTACTTCAGCCCACTCTTGATGCGTGCCTGTTAGCATTTTGTGCCTTGTCTCACGACGACATAGTGGAGGCTTTTTAATGGCAATTTACCTCAAAACGTTTTTTAAATCCTCAATACAGGCACTGTATAAAGTATTTTTCAATATATGAGTTTAGTGATGACCAATAGCAATCAATCAGATCAGATTTACTAATATAGTCAAGATTTCCCCGATGCACTTTTTCTCCCACCACCTGTGGCGTAGCGCACACATCCGCCCCATTTTGCTCCAAAGAATCCTTTCGCGCTCGTTGCCCCCTGTTGCCTTCGTGCGTGTATCCGCCGCCAAGCCCCAGGCCAGCTGGTTTTCAGCCAAACTGGGAAGGAACAAGGCCAGAGATTGGTTCGGCTGGCGTCAGTCATCGTCAGTTTGAGTTCAGTCAGAAGAAGACAGTTGAATTGGGCCCTCGGGTTCTGTTCCGTCAGCTTGCTGCCTGGGGCTGCTGTTGCCTGACTGACGACAATGCCCAAGTCAGTTGTAAATTAACATAAGGCCCAAGAACCGAGCGTTACCGTATTCCAACATTGTTTAATATTTATTAAACGCATTCCACCCTGTATAATGACATCTGAACCAATTACGACATTCCCTTGGTACGCACCGCCCCCTCGGGGGGTTCAGGGACCAGGACATCCTCAAGTTGGTTGACTCTCAGATGCTGTATCGAGCGGGAAAGGCACCGCATCTGAACGCACAGTACCTTCTGTGATTGTTCGCCACTGTTTCTCCCGCAGCCGTAGTCGCACACACTGCGCCTCCAGTTGCTCCTAAAACCGTTTTGATCACATTTCCTAGAGCATTGGTTCTCCTCATTGTCCTTGCTTGGATCAGTATTTTTGGTCCCGTGACCAGTGCTGAATTTTCGACAGTGCGATTAGGTCATGCGATTAGGTCGTGCAACTAGGTAGCTCGATCGCGTTTCGTGCGACAGGCTCTGCGAGTCTGCGACCTAATTGATGCAATTCAGCTGGTGATCCATTTCCGGTCTGAACCCCTAGAATCATATACTTACAGGCATGCATGATAAAATCAAGTGCAGAATGTCGTAGGCTCAGTATTCTGCAGCCGCGGTTTGCATCCTACTACCTGGCTTTCCAGTTTAAAGCTTTCGCGTTACCGTGTCGCCCTACTGTCCCACCGTGTCACCTGACTAATTAGACTTCCTTTGGTATCTTAAAGGAAACGAAGCTCTTTGCTAGACGTTACTTCGCAATTTATTGCCTTTCGCTTGCCTGACAGCTAATCTCTTAATTCCTACCCTTAGCGCGCAATCAGTAAAATTAAACGCTTGTTCTGATAGCAGCCGCACGTCAGTATACAACGAGTATGACGGAAGAGTATCACCATCACATGGACGGAAAGCGGGACGACGACGGCGGCGCTGTAGAGTATAGCGAAGACCTCCGTGACGGGGATGGCGATCCCGGGGAGGACGGGTACGACGACGACGGGTCCGGCGAGCCGTTAGAGCCGGAAATTGTGGGAGTTCCGACGTATGACGGGGCGTATACGCAGTATAACATCTACGGGAATATGTTCGAGGTTACTGCGAAGTATGTGCCGCCTATTCGGCCAATCGGTCGTGGAGCCTACGGAATTGTGTGGTAAGTGCTCTTTGCCTTCTGAAAATTACAAAAAATGAAGTTTTTTTTCGGGATTGTGTGGTGTGGTTCGTTCTCACAAAATTCCGCTCGTCCACTGGTTGACGTAGTTTGACTTCAACAGTCAACCCCGTTCATGCGCCGGCTTCATCCCATTCCGTTCTCGTTTGGTCTCCATTTCATTTCAGTGCTCTATCATATTCCCTAATTTCCTGTTTCAAGCCTTTTTTTGTGCTTTCTTCTGTACCTTTTTTGTAGTTTTATTCCGTTCGTTCCCACCCTCCACTCTCCCTGGGCTTGCAGCTCGGCGATGAACTCAGAGACTCAGGAGGAGACGGCGATCAAGAACATCCTTTGATGCGTCTCAAATCAAAAGTCCCTCCGCTCCACTCCACCCCCTCCCCCTTGCGATCGCAGCTCGGCCATCAACTCGGAGACCCAGGAGGAGGTGGCGATCAAGAAGATCGTTTGAGGCGTCTCAAATTAAAAGTATATTCACTCCACTCCACTCCACTCCACTCCACTCCACTCCACTCCACTGCTTCTGTGTTTGCAGCTCGGCCATCAACTCGGAGACTCAGGAGGAGGTGGCGATCAACTCGATCGCCAACACGTTTGACAACCGGATTGACTTCTGAGGCCCCTCAAAAGACGCCTATAAGTTTGCCACCCCACACTCCCCTTGCGATCTCAGCTCGGCGATCAACTCGGAGACGCAGGAGGAGGTGGCGATCAAGAAGATCGCCAACGCGTTTGACAACCGGATTGACGCCAAGAGAACGCTGAGGGAGATCAAGCTGCTTCGACACATGGACCACGAGAACGTGAGTCCCTCCCTCTGCCTGCCTGGCATGTGGTTTACGAGAACGTGAGTTAGTGTATGGATGAGCTATGATGATCGTGCTGCTCCGACATATGGACCACGGGATCGTGAGTGTCTCCTGCCCGACTGACACGTGTGGACCATGAGAACGTGAGTTAGATGTGTGCATGAGCTAAGACGATAAAGCTGCTCATGAGTACATCTAACTCATATGGACCACGGGATCGTGAGTGTCTCCTGCCCGACTGACACGTGTGGACCATGAGAACGTGAGTTAGATGTGTGCATGAGCTAAGACGATAAAGCTGCTCATGAGTACATCTAACTCATAT